CAATTGCACAGCAGGTGTTGTGGACATCATAGGTTAATTGATACAGGGTTATTTTAGTAAAGAAAAAAGCCACTGTAAGTTCCTTTTAGGTAGTGTCCACCAGTGTGCAGTCCTTAAATCTCTTGAGGAATCTCAGGAAAGCACTCCCACACTCCTTCTCTTTGTTCCTTGCTTCCAGTTTTTTCAAGAAATATTGAATTTATGAGGAAACAATTCCAAGCATTATAACTTTCATCTTCACGTCAAGGTCTCATGGGAACTGGGATCCAAAGTCATCTGCACCTGTGAAGGTCTCTCTCACAAAACCAAACTACAGAACCCTTCATCCAAGGTTCTTTTTTAGACAATGTGATACCCTTCAGGATAAATTATATGTTTTGCCACAAAACAAGACTCAAAAAATTTGAAAACTGAACTTTATTTTCTAGCTATAATAAAATAAACACTTAAAGAGTAAGTTTCAGAAATTGTATAAATTCATGGAAACATACTAACAGATATTGAATAAGCAATAGATTACTGAAGAAATAAAAAGGAAATTTACAAAAGTTTTAAGCAACCACAAATGTAAGCCCCATTATATTCCAAACATACCAAAATATATAGCAACACAACAGGAGCAATACTACGGAGGGGAGTTTACACTAATAAGCACTTATATTTTAGATGAGGAGGGGAGCTGATTTCAAATAAACAACCTATTACATATCTCAAGGAATGAGAAAACCAACCTCCAGATTGCTAATAGGAGTAACAGCCAAGGGGTGGTGGCCCAGGTGTTTAATCCCATCACTCAGGAAGCATAGACATGTGGGTGAATTTCTATGAGTTTGAAACTAGTCTAGTCAGAGAAACCTTGTCTGGGTCTGAAAAAGCCTGGGTTAAAACCGGTCTCGCTGAACATAGCGGACAATGAGGACTACTGAGACCCCAAGAACAATGGCATTGGTTTTTGATCCTACTGCACCTATTGGTTTTGTGGGAGCCTAGGCAGTTTGGATGCTCACCTTACTAGACCTGGATGGAGGTGGGTGGTCCTTGGACTTCCCACAGGACAGAGAACCCTGATTGCTCTTTGGGCTGACAAGGGAGGGGGACCTGATTAGGGGAGGGGAAGGGAAAGGGGAGGCGGCGGTGGGGAAGAGACAGAAATCTTTAATAAATAAAAAAAATAAAAAACTAAAACANCTCTTTGGGCTGACGAGGGAGGGGGACTTGACTGGGGGAGGGGGAGGGAAAGGGGAGGCGGCGGTGGGGAAGAGACAGAAATCTTTAATTAATAAAGAAATAAATAAATTAAAAAAAGAATAATAACAATAATGATAATGATAATAATGATGAAAAAAGAAAGAAAAAGAAAAAAGGAACAACAAAATTCAAAGCAAAATAAGAGACTATAACACAATACAAAAAAATAACAATGAAATAACAAAATGAAGAGCCTTGAATGCCCTCTCACGGCTCTTAATGCCCAGAGGGTTTAGTCAAACCAACTGGGTAAGAAAAAGAAAGATATGATACAGATAAGGAGGGAAGAAGTACAGTTATTGCTACTTGTAGGTGATAAGAATACATATATATGTACTTCTATACAATATATGTATGTGTATATATCTACATATATGTAAAGAGAGAGAGGAAGTTAAAAACCATTAAGATACTATTTGAACTGATACGGTCAGGAAAAGTTCAGGATACAAAATCAGCATACAGAATCAGTATTTTGTTAGCAACAGTAACATACAATTGTTGAAAAAAATCACTGAAGGAATTCTATTCATAATAGCTATAATAAAAAAGATATCTACAATAAAAATTGAAGAATATAATTTTTTATTTAATTAAATATTAATGAAATTAAAGAAATCATTAGTTGTAAGAATTAAAACTGTTAAAATATTTTACTTAAAGCAAGCTCTATATTCAATACATCTTTACTAAACTGCTGATGGCATTCTAAACAAAACTAGAAAAAAATTTAAATTCATATGGAATCTTAAAGAACTCCAAAGAGCAAAAGTTATTTTGAGCAAACAAACAAACAAAAACCAAACACAAATGAAACAAAAGTTCTCTAACTTCAAAATATACAACAAAGCCATAGTAACAAGCAGAGCAAGGTGTCAGCAGACAGCAGACACACAGACTGGTGAGCACAGAGTGCCCCATGATTTTGCAGCATTGAATTCTCAACAAAGAAACTGGAGGTATGCACTGGGAGAGAGGACAGCCTCTTCATCAGCAGTGCTAAGGTAAACAGGTACTCATGAGGAAAAGAGAAAAGAGTGACTCCTCGTGTCTTACAAAAAGAAAAGGAAAAATAGATTAAAGACCTACTAGAAGGAAACAGGAAAGTTACTTAAGACATTTATAGGCTGTGATTTGGAGGAGCATGTAAGACACCCAAAGAACAGAAAACAAAACAAATATAAATGCATGAGATTATGTAACTATATAGGCTTAAACCATTATTTATCTTTATGTAAGCTAAATATCTGAATGACAAAAGAAACAGAGTGAAGAGACACCTGTAGGATGGGTGGATTGCAAACTACTCATTTACAATGGGCTAATATCTAGAATATATAAGGAACTTAACATTTCAACAATAAAAAATCTAATATAAATGAACAAAGGATATGGGCAGTCATTTCTCGGAGGGAGAAATTCAAAGGGCAAGCAGATTATGGGGGAAAATCTCTACTTCACTAGGAAGTAGTGAAGGCAGATCTTGTTCTGATTAGAATAGTTATTACCAAAATGTCCATAAATAATGAATACTGGCAAGTAAGTGAAAGAAAGGGAATGTTTGTGATTTGTGGGATTGGGAATTAATGATTATGGAGAACAGCATAGCATGATGATTCCTCAAAAATAGGACTACTGTGTGATCCAGCCATTCCTCTTCTATTATAGAGTCAAAGGGATTTTATATCAGCACATCAAAAAGGCATTTGAACAAGCAAGCTGCTTACTATATTGTTCACAGTAGCTAAAATATGTATCCATCCTTGAGACCTATAAGGGGATGAAATGATAGAGAATAGGTGGTACATGCATAATGGAATATTATTCAGCAACATAATAGAATCTTCTCATTTGCACCAAAATCTTAACCTGATGTCACTGCACTAATTAGATGAAATAAGTCAGGTGCAGAAACACAGTTATCACCTGTTTTCTCAAATGATTTTTAAAAAGCTGGTCAGGATATACAATAGACATGAATGAAAGTTGAGATGGGTGGACAAGAATAAAGTAAGCTTGAATAATGGGTACCAAAGCATAGATGGAACTGAAAAGTCCTAGAAGTCTATAGCACAGTGGGATGGCTTCACTTCATGACACCCTCCTATTTTATGTGCAGTGAAAGGAAGGAACTGGAAAACTCCAAATACAAAGTAATAATTAGTAGAGGAGAGTGTTAAGTATCAAACCTGGCACACTGTACTGAATAAACTAGTGTAATCGTGTGCTTGCCACCTTTTTAAAACTTCAGAATAGAGAAAAATTATCTGCCCTGATTTGATCATCATACTATATACCCGTATCAAGTGATGCCCATCAATCTGTGGACTTAAAGTTTCAGGAAATCAATAATAGTGGAAAGAATGACTAGATTCACCCAGATGCAATTTGTCTCGGACACAAAAATGGCATCATTGGCAACTTTGCTCTGTGTGCCTCTAGACTCCGCACTATGCATAAAATCCTACCAGCCAGAGTGAGGGGTGGTAGAGCGTGGGTCATGCTACTCTACGGGAGATAGAAAGCTCCCTGCTCCTCCCTTTGGAGTCGACTGTAGATGACATCTAAGGAAAAGACAAGGCCCGTTTCTGGCATATTCTCTCCCCTTCTCCCCCTAGGTCCTTACTGAAGCCATTGCTGCTCTCACCTCCCCAGCTACTCTTTGACTCCTGATCGTTTTTTTCTTTTTCCTCTTTCATCTCCCCCCAGTCAATGATTCAGAACAATCTGAATAAAAATGCTAGACCCTTCAGGTAGAGGTGGCATTGAATTTTTTGATTTTCAGGCACCCCTAGAGGTATTGTGTTACAAGGGGAGGGCCTGCTTGTGCTTCCCAGCCACCCACCTAGCTTAGCCCCAAAATAACCACACAGAAACTATATTCATTAAAACACTGCTTGGCCCATTATCTCTAGTTTTTTATTGGCTAATTCTTACATCTTAATTTAACCCATTTCTATTAATCTGTGTATTGGCAGGTAACTGTAGCTTACCGGCAAGATTCTAATCAGCATCCATCTCAGGCAGGAGATCCATGGCATCTGCTACTCTTCTCTTCTTCCCAGCATTCAGTTCTCTCTACTCCACCTACCTAAGTTCTGCCCTATCAGGCCTAAAGCAGTTTCTTTATTCATTAGCCAATGAAAGCAACACATGAACAGAAGAGCCTCCTACACCAGTATTGGGCGTATAACAATTTGCAGTTTTATTGTGTCATGAATTTAAGTCCCCAGTCATTCAGTTAGTAGGCTGAGTGAACACCTGCACCCATGTTTCATCGTCACTGCCATGTCACCGACATAGGTCCGATCATCTTCAGTGGAAGGGTTCTGAGTGGATGGACACACTCCTGAAGGAAGCCAGTGTGGAGTGCTGGGATCCAACCTAAAGGAGCTCAAGAGTGCTTTCAAATGTGCTTCAAATCAGCATCATTTGCTCAGTAATTCTGAAAATGTCTTAAATGGGCAATTTAGGAGCTAGAAGTACAAACACCGCAGTGTAGCAATGTAGTCTATCCTCATGAAGATGCAAGTTTATCAGGAAAGGCGGATATCTTAAGCAAGGAAGTGCAGTAAGATCTTAGGAGTGTTCAGAGAGCAGGCCTTAGACCGTGAGGCAGAGAAACACCAGGAACCAGAAAGATGCAAAAGGATCTGTGAACAGTTTCAGACACAACTCAGGTTTGCTAACGTTTGTTGTTTAGATCAGAGTGTAGTTACAGCCAACATATTGAATCAGGCCTTTTTTCTCAGGTACAACCGAAAAATTTCATAATCCCAGACCATGAGAAACCATCCTTCCAGAATTCTGTGAATCCCAGGTGAGCCAAAGATGTAAGCTGGGATCTGACTTATACTCTGGTCCTTTCTGTTTGGGACACAGGATTGGGACTGAAAGGGCAGTAGACAGAACACCCTGGGAATGAACATTATAGTGGTTGTATCTTCTGTTGGAGCCGTGAATTAAATGATTTCACTTCTTTACAGGAATGATTAAAGTTACTATTAGCACAGCCTGCCTTTTCACCAACATAAGAACTACATGAAGAGTGGGTAGGCTATTTCTTCATTGCCCTCAAGCAGATAACAATTCTTATATAGATGATAGATATCTAATTCACAAAATATGGGAGATGACACAAAATTTGTCCCAAGTTCAAGGCATCCTCTTCATCAATTTAAATTTAAATCCTATTTAAATTCCACTTATCTATTCTATTTTGTTGTTTGCTGCAATACCATAGGATACAAAAGATATAACAAAAATGAAATCAAGTCAAATTCTCATTAGTTGGAGTTTTTAAGCTTTTTCTTGTATTTGACTATCAACAGTGAAGAATTTACTTCTTCATTTTTTAAAGCTCTAGGGAGAACAGGGAAGGAGTTGGAGGCATGGCGGGGGCTGTGCACAAATAATAATGTTCTCATTATGAAAATCTCAGCAAAACAACCTCCAGGCCCAAATATGATGCTAAACATGTATGAAAAATCATAATGAAACTCATTGTTTTATACAGCAACTAAAACAATCAAAGCTTAAACAACAACAAACATGGACTCACTCTGGCTAAGGCTTCAGTGTTCTGAATGCCTTGTAATAGATGGTGGAATGTGAGCACAGATTCATCTTTACAAAATAATTATATATGATGCTAAGGCAACACTTAATTCTCTCCCTTATGTAAAGAGAAAGGTGGGAGCAACTAGCAAGTCTTTCTGTAATCTCATGTGGCTCAGAAGCAAATGTTCGATTGCTTTTATGACATTACGGCCTTTTGTTCCAGACTGTGACACAAGTCAGGTGCCCTGAAACCATGCAGCGCTGGCTCAGGTACACAAAGGTCACAGAGGGAACATGTGTCCGGGCAGTTCAAGTTCCAACACTAATAACATTTACTCATACTTCTTATCATAATAAAAGTAATTCTGATAGATACTCTTTGCAAAGTGTGAATAGGAAACTCTTTGAATCAAGGGTTTCTGAGCAGAAGTTAATTTTTCTGTGAAAGAGACTTGGAAGCCTGTTGCCCTGGTTTATTGAGAATATTTTGTACTTTAAGTAAAGCACTTAATCCTTAAATCGCTAATTGGTTTTATTTTAAGCAAGCAGTTCTCATTACTTTAAACTGTGGCCAAGAATTGAATCATCTTAAAATTCTCAAACTTTTGTTGGTTTCATTTTCAACATAATAATGAAAGAAAGCCTACCACTTCTGTCTGATACTTACGTAGAATGACTGTACAATACGGACTTGAACTTGTTTAGCCACTTGCTAAAGAACTTTCCATAAAAATGGGACACAATTTAAAAGACTTTCCTCCCCACAGCCTTGGCTACAAAGAGAAATGGAGAACTCATGAAGTCTCCAACCAAAACATAACAAGTTTTGTGTTTCAGGAGCAAATGACTGACTTGAAAGATTTCTTACTTTTTATGGAAATTAGAGAATATTTCCTTAATCCCTACTAGTTTTAGACTCTGCATGTTCTTATAGTAGAATAAAATACTTCTGAAATGAAGGTTTTATCAGAACCCATTAAGATACTACCAAGGAAAAGCACTAGAGAATTAGTGAGTTTGGGGCAATTAACTCTTTTGCCCTGCTGCAGGGGGCCTGGAGGTAGGTCAGCAAATGTTGGGGTGGAGACTGCCTCTGTTGTATGCGTAAAGACAGATACCTGAGAGGAAAACTGTTGGCTCAGGAACCTCAAGACCAAGTTCTCATTACAAAGGAGGTTTGTTTGTCCCAGAGGGACAGAGGGCAGGGAATAAGAGATAGAAGGTGAAGGGGATAAGGGAAAGGGGCAGGGGTGTTTGTCCTAGAGGGACAAAGGACTGCGTCTGGATAGAGAGGAGACAGTCACTGCACTGCACGTAGGAAAATGGCAGTTTATGAAGGGAAAGGGGGAAACCTTGTGTTATAATGAGTAGATTTCTTTTGATTAGGTGTGTTAGGGTAGACAGAAGGGGCTTTTGATTACTGGCCTTCAAAACTTTGATCACTGGACCGTAGTAGTCGGGCTCAGGAGGAGGAAGTGAGCGAATAAAGGAATAGGCCTTGGAGCCTAGCTTTAGGAATGTAACCTAATGGTTTTTCAGCAAGGCAGAGGGAATGCAGAAGGGCAAGGCCTACCAGCGCCATGTTTGCCAGGCCCAGGCCAGCTAGAGTCCTTTAATTCCTCTTCACTAAGATCTAGTCAACTGACTACTGTGTTTTCTTGAATCTTCCAATCAGAGTGATGCTCCTTCGTCATTCCAATGTCCAGCAGTTTAGTCATCCCTGCAATGACATCCCAACAGGTTTGTTTTCTCTTAGAATAAGTGCTTCCAGTGTGATACATGCTCTACCTGGGGCCAGAGAATGGAAAACTTTGTTTCTATATTTTCTGGGCAAACTCCGTTCTCTGTCCCTTTTTTCCTTTGGATGTGATAGAATCATTGCACAGCCTCCTCCTCCTTTTAACTGCAGCTCACTCTGTCCACTCTAAGGGTCTCGCATGTTTTCATGCTTTCTCCAAGGTCTCTCTATATCACATAATTCTGACTAATGAGCCACTTGCTAAAGAAATTTCCAGAAAAATGGGATACAGTTTAAAAGGCTCCCCCCCCCCAGTCCCCGTGACACAAATCAAAGTGGAAAGAAAGGCAAGTGCTTCACAACATTCCTGAAACAGTCTCACTACAAAGCCACAGGGTCCTAAAGCGCTGCCTCCCCCGAGAAGCCGCCCAGTGCTATTCTAAGTTCTAGTACTACTTATAAAACAAACAAACAAAAAAGACAGTAGCATATCCCAGACTGCAGCACTGAGTTATGTCCCGCCCCTTAGAGACAGGGGGCAATGGAGTGACAAATATACAACTAAGCCCAAGCTTCAGTGATTTTTTTTTCTATCAAATGGATCCCAAATAACTGAAACTACCTGAAACTTTTGTTTCATTAGATTTGTACAGTAAAAGAAATAAAGTTATGGTTGCTATTTTATCCTAGGAAGTTGCAGAGATTCATAACCAGAACTGAACTGAGAAGCCACCTAGAAAGGAAAGTTGAGAACAAAAGGGATGTCTCGGGCAGATGCCAAAGGAAAGACCAGAGTCCCAAAAACAATGGCCAGTTTGGGAAATCCAACTCCATTGCAGTGAAAGAGGGTGACCCAGTTCCCATGAGTTTCTTCTCACACATCCAAAACCAGTGACCTACGTCATGATTTTGATTAGGCCAAAGGGAGCAATGGAGATCTAAGCTTAAAAGCATCCACCCAATGAAAAACCCACCAATATTCTCTGCTCAGCTTTCTCCCCTAGCCAAGGGAACACTGGGAGATACGTGCACCCAATCGGTCTCAGTGTCCTCTGTGCTAGTGACATACTTATTTTGAATTTTTCTTGGACCTGGGTTTTTTTTCCCCTCAAATTTGTCTTGGAAAGTAATGAATCAAATACGCATGTCTGTATACACACACACTTATATCTCCTTCCCTCATCAAGATTATTTTGCAACACCAAGTAGTAAACCCTGGGAATGCTTCAATTATTAGCATAAAAACTAACTGAGGGCACATGGGATCAGCATGGCATTTTCTTGCCCATAGAGTCTAATCTAAGACAATAATACTGGAGATGGAGCTGCAGAACCATTTAGGGCTGAACGTTGGGGGATCTATAAGTGATGCCAGCTAAAAGCTCTCTGAGCTAGGCTTTGTTGTTATGTGTGTCCTCCAAAGCATGGGGGAAAGTGTAGCACAGGACCAGAAATGCCTGCTCCCAGATTGTGGTCTGTTTCTGATTGTTTGGTGTCTGTGTTCCCACTTTAAAAGCTAGAGCAGCATTTTGTTTCACACAATATAAGCTGGACCAAGCCACAGCTACTGGCAGGCCAAGCCTGATGGTTTATATAGCTTAGTCATATCAGAACTTCAGTACTTGCGACTTATTGCCTAAGCTGCCACCCACATGCAAACATGCTATGAATACAGAATCCCGGTGTTTTCACTGCACACAGTTATATAGTTCATTTGTAGGTCAAAACAGTGATTTCTAAAATTTTCCTAAACTCACCCAAACTTTATCATCAGGATCAGAAATGGTATCTGGAGGTTACGTGGAATTCATTTCTCTTTGCCTTGATCCCATGAGACCTGCAGACCTTTATTCTTGATGAGCCCTGGTGTTATGTTACCCACCTAACATGTGTTTAGCGCCTGGCAGAGAAGTGTGACAGGATACAGAGTACTCAGTTGAGACTAAGGGGAGCTAGATGCTGGTCCTCAACCTGTTTGTGTCCATCAACCTGAAATGTTGCTGCGTTTGAATGGCAATGAGAAGCCCGAGCTGCACTCCAGACTCTCACGCCTATAATCACTTTAGCACCCATTTGGCTTGATCAAGCAAACTTGAGAATTCAGGGCTTCAACCCCCATAGTCATTCAGTTGCTCCCAATGGGGAGGTGTTGTATGCACGATCATCTCCTCTAAGCAATGTGTTCTGGAAAAGATAAGTATAAGCATTTTTTTTTTTAAATCCAATCCTGTTGGTAAGGACTTTAGAATTATTTGCAACTTTAAGTTCCTTTTGATATACTAAACCTTTTCCTCCTGTGGCCTATTTGTAAAATCATGGCTGTTTATTTTCTCAAACTTCCAAAATTTCCAGGACTATGGACACATGCGTCCTGGAACAGTCTCCTGAGAATTGAGCCCTCTTCCCCCTTGAATTAATATTACAACTCCACATATGCTTTATCTTCAATGTAGTTGGCAATACTCCTGCCTCTTGGGTGTTATTTCTAAATTTCACTTGGCATCTTCAATCGGATTTAGAAAAGTTTAATGTTCTTGGCACGAGATGGTTCTATTAAAAGAAATGCTTATGTGAATTTTGAGTATTTGCTAAGGCTGGAGGAGTCTCTGGTGGCCCATCGATACATTGTGGTTTTGAAAGAACAGTGTTCAACCCCTTATTCTGTACCCTTCTTGCACTGTCTTCTAGAGAGCATTCGCTACAGACTGCCCATTATGGGCCCCAGGACTGCTATCTTCCACAGGCTGTTGTCCAGTGCCTACAAAACTCCTCAGGAGACTCAAGGCCTCTCCTTCCCCAGAAAGAAACTAATGAACAAGACCGTGAAGCAGTGAGTGGTCAGAGCTAATTACCCCAAACTGTCAGGGAAAAGACCACCTCTCCAAGCTGTTCTGATGCTGGTGCCTTCCTGTAGTCTCGCCTCTCCCAAATGATGATTCACCCTTTCCTTCCTACATGCTGCTATTCTAGCTCTTCCCACTTTTTCCTAAAGAGAAAATGATTTACTTTACATAAATATAAAGATTTATTGATTAACACAGAACATGATATGTGTCTTTTGTTATTTTGCTGAAGATTTTAATGCATATTATAATAAATGACAATCTTCTCCTATAAGTTATGGGTTTTCAATGGAAGTATTAGGTTACTCTTTCAGGCAAGAGGACCAGGGATAGCTCCTAGAGCCCTGTATGTCTTTATCTTATTAGGAATCAAGGAGAAAAGGGAGAAAATCTTTTTTTCTATCAGTTAATGTCATAGATAGTAATAACTGGAAAATGGCAAATGATTGCTGGTTGCAGTCTCCAGTGGCTGGGACCTTGCCTTCTTGCAACACCTCTATTATTGCCTTGCAAATTGATCAGGTGTTCAGCCACTCTTGGCTTGTATTTTATAGTGAGGTTATTTTTATATGAAAATGTATGCTTCCAGATCTATCCTGATCTGTGTGTACACAGTGTGTGGAATACAAAATAATCCTAAACTTTCAGATTTTATATCCATGGTCATATATGTTCCAAACCAAGTTTCAAGAGGTTTTGTATTAAAAAAGAAGCCCTTCTGTTTCTTAGGAAGCAACTGCCTATTGGAATCCTACCCTCCTGACTAAATGGATGTCAGACCAACCTATGAAACTCATCCTGTGCCAACAGCTTTTGAAGACTGGAATTAAGAGATCTCAGAAAAATGAGCCAGTGTTCAAATTGAACTCAACCAAAACAAAGAAAAACAAAGAGAACAAAAACAACAAAACCTGCTTCCTTGTCTTGTTTCTGGTAGGCTGTGATTCTTATTTTCACTGCAATTAGATTTCAAGAACTTCAAAAAAAAAAGTATCCGTGAATTCTAATATAATTTCAGACAATTTAACAAGCGCAGAAAAGTTTTCTTTAGTTATTGTTTGTTGTTTATGCATACTTCAGCAAAAGAACTTAGGTTGCCTGTGCTCATGACTGAGGGGAACTACTTAACCTCCTGCACAATTATATAGGGCTTTGGAGGCAATCTGGACATTGTGTAGTTTAGGAGATGAAATGCTTCCAAAATCTCCAAAGATGGCCTCAGCTAGAGCTCTCCAAACTACACTGAGAAGAACATCTTAGTACTTGCCAGCATGTTGACAGCAGGCATGGTTCAAATCTTAAATGCTCCCCACAGTGGTCACATACTGAATGAAAACTTGCCCAGCAGCTTAAGACAGTACCAGGAGGTAGCATCATCCTTAAGCAATGGAGTCAAGAAGGAGGAGGGTCTGTCAGTTGGAGGCCATGAGTAGGATGATGCGATCCTCTTGTGTTCTCTCCTCCTCTCCCCAACTCTTTTCTCCCTCTCTTCCTTCTCACCAGTCTTTTCTTCCTCTTTCTCCCTCTCTCAGATTAATTTTGAAAATTGGATAATCCTGGGCAGATGTTTTTATTTCAGTGCAAAAGCCTGATTTTGCTTAAAAAAAGAAAAGGAAAAGGGAACAAACCATATACACACACAAGCTCTTAACTTCCTTAAGTCTACAGAATTAGTCATACATACCCTCTCTTACCCTCCCATACTCCAACAGGGAATCTACGAATAAACAATCAATCTGTATAATTCCTTTATATTAGAAATGGGAAGAAATGCTGTATTTAGCAAAAAAAATCTGTGCTATAGTTTTATTGTGTTTTATTATTCGCTTTCCATAATGCGAAACCATGGTCACACCTGGTCCCAGTTTTAATTCTGGACAGCCTGGCAGGCTTCTACTGGCATCACCTCTCATCAGGACCACTTGTCCTTTCCCCTGGCTTAGGACTACCAGCTGGGGAAGGAGACAAGGAGAGATGGGGGCAGGGAGGGAAACTGAAACTTAGCAGCTGGCTGGCTTCCTGGCCTAATGTTCTTCTGTGTGCATAGCTCGTGTCCGTTGTCTTCATGCACAATTCCGGGGAGCCCCAGGGGTGCCCTGTTCAGGTCTCTCTCAGCTGCAGCTGTTCGGGTGGAGGGGTGTTACAGGGATAAGAGTGGTATTGCCCAACACAGGAAGAACCATGGGATTACTGCCTGTAAACAAACCTAAAAACAAAACTATTAAGCATCAAGATATAGGGCTTGGGCAGACAGTAAAATGCTTGCCTTGAAAGCTTGGTGTTGAAGCCTCAGAAGCTACTGAAACAGTCTGGGTATGGCAGCAGACATCTATAGTCCTAGAGCTGGGAGGCGGAGACAGATCCCTGGGGGGTCGCTGAACAGTCAGCCCAGGCCAGCGAAAGATCCTGTCTCACAAAACAAGGTGGACGGCACCTGCACGTGCACCCACACACACACAAACGGAGAGACGGGGAAGGAGAAATATCCAAGATTGCGTTAAATATCTGGTGCTTGACTCTCATACAGGAGGCCATGGGGGCAATCTTGAGTATCGAGAGGAAGAAGGCAGTGAAAAAAGATAGACTAACCCCTGGAGCAAACTAGGCTAATCAATCATGTCTTCAACTATGTTCTACTTAAAACCAACTTAATCTGGCACTTTATTAAACAGTTCTTTTATACATGTAATTGTAGCTCTGTTCGACTTCTTTTAAATTGTGTAAACCTAACAAGGTGAGCAACATCTCCTGCTGTACTGTATCCGTGCAGGAGCTACCTGGCATATTTAAAATGCATTTAAAATAAAGGCAAAGCCATTTATTTTAGGTTTACTAACTAATCTGGAAAACCACAAACTAAGATCCATAAATTGGGGCTTTGAAGGTAGACTTGGTTAGGTGTTGTGATTCCTCCTTTGAAGAAATTATCATTTCATTTGGAGAAACACACCCAGAGACAGAGAGAGACACACACATACTCACAGACATGTGTGCACACACACACAGACACACACAAAGTGCATGGGACGTGAGTTACAAAGGAACACCCAGCAATTTCAGTAATAACACTCTCCATAGTATCAACCATCCTACTACTGTCTGGACAGGAACAAAGAAGCAATCATTGAATGTCATCAGCAAGGCAGGCTGGAAGGGTAATAGCTGTGCTCACTCACACAGTGTGCTATTGCTTGTTCTTTCTGAAGTCTTTGGCAAGGCACTTAGTCACCTGTTCGGGAAAGTGCAGAAAAGCCAAGTGAGGCACAGGTATCTGCTACCTCAGGGAAATTTTACTGGATGATAAGGGCCATTTAGTGGTGATTCCAACTTGGGAAAAGAAGTTAGGGAACTTAGTTCCCTAGATTCTCACCTTGAGAAAAATGTATAAAGAATAAAATGTATAAAATCAAGAAAGAAGATGTGATAACATTGGTAAGCTCCGAAACATCAAACTGAGTGGCTAGAAGCCAGAAGATGGCAGAGAGGATTCTGCAAACTCTATCCTTCAGTTCTCTTGGGATTTTGAACTACTTCAGACAGAGTTCCGCTAACTCAAAAACAGAACAGTATGAAACAAAAGACCTTTTGGAGGTGCCAAGGAGATAATCTAGCTTTGACATTGGAAACCCAATGAGCTGTCTGCATAATTGTCTTGCTGACACTCCGGCAGACAGACATAAACCTTGAGCCCTATCAAGTTCAGGCAAGTGTTCAGTTGAAAGAATACATTTTATCTCTGGCCCTCAGGAAGTTTTGCCATTAAAGTCAAGTTTGGGCACCCAATAACAAATGTTCCATGCTCATTCGGCGTTTGACAATTCCTCTCTCTCTCTCTCTCTCTCTCTCTCTCTCTCTCTCTCTCTCTCTCTCTCTCTGTATCATCTGTGCTCTCTTTCTTTTACCATTAAACAAGAGTGCTTTACAAGGTGTTCATACATCCTTCCCCAGGGTAGTTCCACAGAAATTCTTCACTCCACTGACATAGATCTGCCTGGTTTTCTTTGCTTTTTCGTTGTTGTTGTTGCATTTTTATGGCTAGCGATATGACTCCAGCCATCCCATTTGTACCCAGCCCCACTCTACCACTCAGAGTGAAATCTAAAGCCCAGGCTGTAACTGAGGGAACCAAACACCATCATTTTAGATGTCCTGCTTCTTGAAGCATGGGCTGACATTGTAATGTTTCCCTCAGTGGTCAAATCCCCAATTCACTCTCTGTCATGGCCTTGCCACAAACTAAAGATGCTCTGTCATTCAAGTGAGAATTGATCATAGTTTTCCTCTGCAGCTGTGTGTGCTTTGTGACAGGGTCTCACAGTGCAACACTGGCCAGCAAGGAAGTCACCGAGTTCTACCTGCCGAGTTTTCCTCCCAAGCAAAGGGATTAAAGACATGCAACGTCATACCAAGAATGATAGATATACTTGGTTTTCTTTTCTTTTCTTTTTTTTCAAGACAAGGTTTCTCTGTGTAGCTCTGTAGACCAGGCTGGCCTCCAGCTCACAGAGATCTGCCAGCCTCTTCCTCCCAAATAATGGGATTAAAGGTGTATACCACCATGCCTGGCTTTTGTCCTATGTATTTTTGAAGTCATACACATGAACTTGTATTCTTCTTTATTACCAACATTCTAGCTAGATCCCAGACAGCCTCCATCTTTCTGAATCTGGGTTTTGTCATTCACTAGTCTGTATTTGATCACTTGATTTTCTTTCTCTCTGTGATACACTTGTAGAAGAGAATAGGATCAGAAACCAAACCCCAAGACTCACCACAGCAGAGCACTCCATTAGATCAGAGATCCCAAAGGCCTTGTATTTAGCCTTCATTTAATTATAGAAAAAAATGTATGTACACATAGGAGCAGAAATAGCACACAAGCACTGATGACTCCTCCCACTCAAACACACCTTTGTCTACACTTTGTCAAATCTACTCCAATTGCAGCACTTGCTACCATCTTAAAGACACTGACATTTTATACTAAGTAATATGACTCAAAAATCCAAAGCAAATTCCTTTAACACATATCACTCTTGTCTTACTTACGAATTATTTAAAAGTCTTTGTTCTTTTCTCTCATTGATCCATATTCAAATTCTTCAACATGACTATTACACCAAGTGTTGCTAAATTTCCTTTCCTGGGAAAGGTGCAGACAGTGTCTACTTCCTCTTCGTAAGGTCCCAATAACAAACCTAGGTATGAGTCCACCAAATTCACTCTGGAGAACCGATGAGTTTATTAGGCTTCCTTCCAGAGCAGTGGGCAGGACTGTGTATACCCTCAAAGTGGCCACACTGGAAGATCTGCACCAACTCTTGATGGGGACTCCCCCCATAGCTTTGTAGAAGGAGCCATTCTCCAGGCATTGCCAGCCTATTCCTCTAGCCCCATGTGTACTTACGGCAGAATTAGAGACAAGTGTTTGGAAGGGATGGTTAGATACTCAGCTGAGGACTCCATAACCCTTTCTGTCTTCCCCTCTGTGAGGAAAAAACAGTTGTCATCAAGCTGGGCTGTGATGATCTTTTGCAAGCATGTCCAGCTGAATTCCTGAAAATGCTCTATGTCTGACATAAAAGATAGTCCTGTACAACAGCTCCTGTCTTTAAGTTCAAATTAAATTAAATTAAAATTAAATGTGTCATTAGCAGTGTGTATTTGCCTCATTACTTAAACTAGAACTGTACTTCAACATATTTCCATGGCATTGACTTGTTGAAAAGATCAAGACAATTGTTCTGCAAAATGCTGATGACCGAGCCAGAGATGAGTCACTGAGTTAAAGTGCTTGCCCTCCGGGCCTGACAGCCCAAGTTTGGATTCTAGAACCAATAGTGGAAAGAGAACTGACACCCCAAAGT